CTCCAAGACAAAATTATCACTCAATGGATGCGTTAGAATATTAAAGTACTGGCAAGAACGCGTGGGACGAAAGGATAGTCCAGCAATTCAGATGTGCAATGTTGAATTAAACACACAGGTGACTTCCACGAAGTTTATTTACCAGTGCAGTACTACTGTTCAGTCGTGCGAAACATGCTGCAGTCCGGCAACTCTACATTCATAAGAGAAAGAAATGTTTGTAACCGTTATGTCGCCAGTGACCCCCATAATTAAACGATGGGCATCGTTTGTGACACCGTTCTAACGAATTAGTTTTAATTATTGGCTCATTATCAGATTCATGTTTCAGAGTTCAAGATGAATCTCAGGATATAAAGAAAAGTATTCTCCACCGTAAGTTATCCTAGCCTGAGCTCCCTTCGGTCGCTGCATACAATCAGAGGTCTGGCTAATGCCTGGTGAGTTGACTGTGCAACGAGTGGCAATCGAACAGAATTGCAAGCTAAACTGAAATACAACGAATTTACAATCTCCTGTCGTTTCTTCGGATTGAAACAGCGTGCTCGCATTGGAGCCTTGGTCGTAGTAACACAGAGGACCGTTTTAGGGGAATTGCGGCAGAGAATGGGCACAGAACCGCAACCTTCGTTCGAACCAAAAATTATTGAACGCCAACGGATATAGCTCACTCCGTAGGCGCATAAAATAAAAATCAAGTACGGTTTTACTAGCAAACTGCTAATTTTTGACACTGCCGAAAGGAACTACACTTTCGTGTAAATTTCGCAGATTTCGGCGATCCGAAAGAACAAGCGGTCATGGAATTGAATTGAATTCTTTGGATTTACGCGCAAAGGCCCTTCGCTTCTAGCAGCCTAGGAGACCGGTTAAACAGAGCACGCCACCACGGCAATCTAGCAACTGCGGTGTTTGGGCGCAAAACCATGTAAATCCGGAGAAGCGATAGGAAATTATTATTCTCAGCAGCGGTATTGAAAATTGGCAGCTGCCAATCAATTCATAATACTGGAGTTAATTATCATTAAGAAGAAATTACTTTAAGAATGTATCGATGCAAAATTCTCTGGATGCCTTTCGAAAAATCAGACAAGCTCAGTCGCTATGGCACCGCACTTGCAGTGGAAACATCCTCCGCTAGTATCCTGGCCAAGTCATCAGTAAACAAACGAGTAACACTGTACTGGAAAGAAGTAGAAATCTGCATAATACTGTGGCGACACTGCTATAGCTTTCAACAGAGGATTCTCCGAAATAACGGAATTATAATGAATATTAAGGCCACAGCACAAGCTTAATGGCAGAATCGTTTAAAAAATCCTCAGAATAATTTATGCTCACAGAAAATGAATCGGCATAATTCATAATAGGTTTACTCAGCATGTTTGTACTTTTGGGATATGCCGGTTTCGAATAGCGTCATTCATCCTCAGGAACCATACAAAACATACAAGTAGCTGCCAGCACATGAGCAGAGGTTTATCATATATTCTGTCCCTATGCTTTATGGCTCCAGAGATTCACAACGCGTGATCCGAAACAGGCACTTTGTGAAAGTTTGTCACGCGCAGTAATCAAGGCATAACCTATTCTGAGACAGAACGAATGATTAACATATACATGTTCATTTCAAACTAAAAAACAATCAAAAGATTCGTTATATATGCATCTAATTAGTTTCCTGTTTCTAGTATTCTAGTATTACTGGAAGTTTCGCTATTCTCGGAACATTAAATTATTACGAATTTCAAAAGCATTCAACAGAGCAGCATAGTGGGTGTAAAGTCTAAGCACAGTCGGTGTGATCAACGGTAAGGCTAGGTAACCTAAGGTGCCACAACTTTTAGCTTCACTACTCCGTTTACCTCTACTAGCCTTTGTATAGAAATAAATATAAAAACTGCCATGGAATTCCATAAAAAGTTTAGTGGCAAGACCAATAAACGCTACGGAACATCTCTGCAGTACCACTATTCGGCCTCACATCGACACTAAAGGGTAAAAATATCAACATCGTTCAAACTACGATGCGAAGTCACCATCTACATAGACGTCTGACGAAGAAACCTGTCATAACATAATTACACTATTTTGTTGAATCTCCTTAATTACACCGTTATAATGTACGGTTTCCAAGGATTGCATAAACAGAAAACAGAAGCAAAAGGACTAGATGCCTATCTTAAAGGCAAAAGTTTAATGTTCAAATATGGCTGCATTTTCGCTTGTCAAACACTCTTTTAGTTATCAGGCACAATCCAATGTAAACTACTTTCGAGCAAAAATAGCAATAAAAATGACAAGCTGTCAGAACATATAAATCATAATGACGTAGAACGACCGGAATAAAAGTTTACTATGCAACAACACACGATCAATAGCTATTCGCCTTATGTTTTGGCAGGAAGAGAAAATCGTCCGCAACGGGTCCAAGAAGCATTTCGGTGATTTTGACCCAGTCCGAGGAACGTGAGCTCGCCATCAATGTCTCCAGGTCATTCCGTCCGAAATACAGTGGCGGGCGCTCGTTGATTCTCTGGGGCACGTGTTGCAACAGACCGACAGGTACATAACGGTACATAAAAGACAGCATCTCGAGCAGAAAACGCCGAGTCAGATCAACGCCCTGCTGATCTGAACCCCAGTGCTGAAGGCCGTACCAAACGTACTTCTTCAGCATGTCCAGCCGTTCCGACGCTGAGATGTCCCAATGCCGTTTCTCCTAAACGAGATCAATGGAGATGGAAAAACTATGCATAAGACTATTACAAAAACCTGACCATCAAGAAACACAAACAAACTGCAGCGAAATACATTATTTCGAATCAAATCCATGGTGTTCATGTTTCTTACGGGACTACTCTTCGTGATTACACTTTATTACACAAATCACTGAAGTTTCGAGTTGAGAATGGCTCCAAACGTTGGAGCATTTTGTAATAACGTGTCTACATGAAGTTATCCCTAAAAAACATGAACATAATTGAATTATTTCACGCACAGAAGAATGTTCAATTGGAAGTTTATTTAAAATCAGTATATAAATAAATTATGGTGGTTGCTAAAACGGATAATGCAGTGTGTATCAAACCTCAAGCAAACTCATGGTGAAATCATTTCAAACAAACGACCTGATGCACCGGATGAACCATGCTCGGTTCATTTTCAGGGGCAAGAGAAACACACTGAAGTATTAGGCATGAAGATGTATGATGCACGAAGCGTGATGTGAAACTTCGGACAATTTCTATAACATTTAATATTTCTTGCATAAGTCAAGCAAGAGCAGGTCTCACGTCGCACTTCACTGGACCATCCGTTTGCTTCTACATGCATTAAAGAATTTAAACTTGCCACCGCTCCATGGTATTTGAGCATCTACATAACTACATGCATCTTGCACCATTTCTATTGCGCTGCATTTATAAGCAGCACTGCAATGGTGAACAGAATTATGCGAGACAGCATCGCAGGGCAAGTTTTCAAATTTCAACGTTTCATAAATTTTAAATTAATCAGATTTCAGTGGAGGAAAGATACGGACTGAAGTTTTTACGCTGGACGGACAACGGAGCGAAAAATGTGGAAATGTATCCTGAAGCAGTATGCTATGTGACCAAAAAGAAATAATTCGGTTTGAAAGTGTATGAACAAGGTAGATCCTACTGGATGAACAAGGTAGGTCTTACTGTATATCATAAGGAAAGTTTATTCTCAACGAAACAAATGCTCATAGTTCCAGTTCTACCATTTCTCAGTCCTTTTAAAAGGGGTGATCTACCTGAAATGGACTTGTCAAGCAACAGGAAATAGGTATGCAGGAAACCTCTTGCACACGTTATGACTATTTTGACAAGACATTAGTCAATATCATACTTGAATATGGTATTGGACCAGTAGCATCCTGCAGACATTAATTCCTTACCCACTGTAACGATAAATACACTTCTTTATTTGAATGAATAATGTTACGATGAAAACTTTTATAATCATCCTAGTACAAAGGTTAATGTCTTGATCAACTCCATTTTCGATATGTTCCTCATATCCCGAATCTCCGTTCCCTCAAATCCAAGAGCCATAATCTTCGATTCAAGAGAAAAAGAATGATATAAAGATCTCACCATACGTTCTTTGGGTATCAATATCGACAGTAGCCCCAAAACCTTCAGTCCGGGCATGTAGTTCGAGTGCTCTAAATTTCCTTTCTTGCCATGTATATGCCTGCTAATGTCTGATCACTACAGTCGTCAATTGATCGCTTCAGATTTCATTATATATAAACAGAACTTCAAAATTCTAAAAATCCTTGACGTGATAACACTGCAATATCCAATTAATTATA